CCGTGGGCCCAGCTCCGCATCCCGAACAAACTTTTGACGGCCCAGGGGCCCGTGGAGGGCCCTCGGAGACCGCAGATAGCCCCGACACCTGCTGCTCCAGTGTTGTTCGGGGCCTCGGATCTCTGGGGCTACTTTAAGGTCGTGCGTGTCCCCCTACAGGCGGACTCTGGAAGAAAATATTAACAGATGTTCAAGCATATGTGAACATAGTATAAACTAACACTAGAAACATCGTCCCTAGACAATTGTTTTGACTACGTTTGAGTTTTACTCCTGTAAAGGGACAAGTCCGACTTAAGGTTACTTCTCCCTGTCGCTCCCTCAGATCTGGCGTTGCCGAAAAGCGCAACATCGCCAACAAATCACCTCTGGAGTCCCAGACCCCACCTTTCTGCGTCGTTTTTCGAGCCAGATCGATCTGTAAGGTTCCTGGGGCCCGAGATCGGGCGAGCACGCCAGCCGTGACACACCTGCAACGCCCGAATCTCAAGGCCCTCGGGCCTGGCCACTGCCCGACGGCTGGCTGGGCCGGGCCCCAGGACAAGCTGCGGGTAATGACCACCCGAGCGGGCGGTCACCCGCGGCCGAGCACAGCCAATCCGCATACGAAGGATGCGCGGTGATGGCGCAAGGGTCTTGTGTAGCCGCGTCAAACGACAGCGTTTTTCGAACGAGGTTGGCCAGCCGAAAGCCGCCAACGATGGACCGAAGGGGCAAGGATGCAAGGGTAACCTTGGAAAGTCGCTCATCCTTACTATGCGGGTTGACCGTAGTTTACCCGACGCCTCCTCCAGGATTTCTCTGGCCTGTCTGGAAAGCCCCGGGAGGCCGGGCGTCTGAACTGGACCCCGAGAAAATCTGTCAAGAAGGGGGGACAAAGGCAAATCCGGTCAAAATCAATCCCCGGATGCAATTTCTCGCTCCGGATCCGTTTTGGAGAACGGCCCCCATGGGACAGAAAAAGGCAACAGACCCTTTCGAACACAGCACCTCCAACCTCAAATCCCCTTCCTGCTCGCCGGGACCGGTGCGGGGCCACCTCAGACCCCCAGCCAGCTTCAAACCCCGAGCGCCGCTCGTCGGGCCTCTCTGCCTGGGGGAGGCCGGGCCGGCACGAGCCCGGGCGGTTGTGCCCCGCCGCGGCGCGCGCCTCCGACGTTGGGGCTGTCCTCGAGCTTGCTCAGGACCTTTCGAGGCCGGCCCCCTCGAGCTCGGGGTGCGGCTGGGAACTCTTGCTCAGCGTGTCGCGGCGGCGGCCCCAGCCCCAGCGAGCCGCCGTGACCCTCAGGCGGACCGCGTGTCGCTCCGCTCCGCGGGGCGGGAGGCCCGGACAGGCTCGGGGCGTCGACGCCTGGGCCGGAGCCAGCGGAGCGACACGCCAAGCCGAAGTTCCCGACCGCAGATGGGGTCGGAGGATCTCGCCGCATCGCCGATGCATCGGCGACGCACAGCCGACTTCGGCGATGCATCGGCGACGTCCGCGCGGAGAACATCGGGCCCTACATCGAGCCACATCGCCGATGCATCGGCGGTGCGGCGCGATCCTCGGACCCCATCTACTCGGGCCTCATTTGGAAGGCCTGGAAGACCTTCTCCCGCCCGAACATGTCCACCTGCGCTGGGGCGACGCGGGGCAGGTGCGGTGCTTTGCGTTCCCAGCGATCCGAGGCCCGACAAAATGGGAGCGGCCGACTTTCGGCCGTTTTCGGACTCCGGGGTCTCTCGACGGACCCCGGGGCCGCCCAAAAAACGTTCTGGATGAAGTTGTCCAGACCTCTAGTCGGGGGCGGCCAAAAGGGGGGCGGCCAAGAGGGGGGCGTCCAAGAGGGGGGGCGCAAATCATGGCCAGCGGCATGTGCGCGGCCCAGGGGTGGGGGGGGGGGCAGGGACCGAATGAAATAAGAAGAGGCGGCATGAAATCAGAGGAAATTTCATGGCCCACGCCATGATATCCCCCCCCTAGTCATCACCTCCCTCTTTGCCGCCCCCGACCTAGGGGTCCACGCATCGAACAAACACTGGAGCGCCGGATGTCGGGGTTCGGTGGCGCGGTGTCGTTCAGACCTGGTGTGCGCGCCACATGCCGCTTGCGCCACCGCGTGGGCAAGGGTTCCGTGAGGCTGGTGGCGCCTCCCAGGTGCACGCCTCGGCCTCAAGACGGCCATTTGGCCAGGATCCACCGCGGCCCCAGGATTCGGAGGATGGGGGAGGGGCTCAGAGGAAGGAGACAGGGGCGGGGCCTGGGCCCGGGCGGACACTCTGAGATCTGGGCGTTGCATCTGTTTCGCTCCTGGCGCTGCCGCCCTGTCTCGGGCCCCAGGTCCACGACGGATAGATCGGGCTCGAAACGTGCCGCGGAGAGGTGGGATCCAGAGCTCCCGTCGGATCTCGGGGGAGCTGGGCCGGGCGAGAGAGCCCGGCGGGAGGCATGGCCAGCCAGGGCGGGCGCGCGGGGCAAGGCGGCGTGCTCGGCAGTGGCGGGTCGTGGCGGGTACCAGAGCCGGGCAGGCGCGACCGCAAGCAGGGCAGGGCCGGGCGAGGCAATGCCACGCAAGCTTCGGGGAGCTCGGGTAGTCTGTCAGCCATCATCACCGACACCGTCGTCATCCACCGTCGTGGCTGTCGTCATCGCCATCGCCGTCATCGTAGTTCTCCTCAGTGGTAATTTCTCCGGGAGGGCGACGCTCTCCTCCCTTCTCCTCCTCCTCCTCCTCCTCCTCCTCCTCCTCCTCCTCCTCTTCCTCCTCCTCCTCCTCCTCCTGCACGTGCGCCTCCTTCTTCTCCTCCTCGTTCTCCTTCTTCTCCTCCTTGTCCTTGTCTTTCTCGTGCCCCTCGTCGTTCTACTGTCCCGCGGCTGCTCCTGCACCATTATTCCCTGCTCCGCCTTCCCTCCATCGCTCTCCTCTGTCCCTCCGCACGTCCCTCTCCCTCTCGTTTTCCCCCCATCTTTCACGTTTACCCCCCGCCCCCTGTTCCTCGCTCGCTCTCTCTTTCTCTCTCACTTTCTCTCTCTCTCTCTCTCTCTTTTTGTTTTTCTCTCTCTCTCTCTCTCTCTTCTCCTGATTCCTCTGTCTCTTCGCGCCATTCTTACCCTCGGCTGGCGCTGGGCAAGGGGGGGGGCCTGCTTCATGTACTTCACCAGCTGGCGCTCGTCGAGGGGCCCCGTCAGGCCGAAGCCCCTCCGGAGAGGTCGGAAGATTGGAGCTGGGCTGCGAGACCAAATCGCGAACGGAAGAGCCGTGAATGGGACATCGTAAACTGAAGTCGCATGTAATCGCATCTCGCATTGAGCACGCCACTTCTACAATGAAAGCGAGCAATCATGTCTGCCAGCGTTGACCCCAAGCATAATGTTCTTACACTCTCGATGTGCAGTCCATGCTGTGCAAGATACGCGGTGTGAGCTATATTGCGTACTCACTAAAATGTGTGGCCAACACTTAGTAGTGTGATGCATCCCACGAATTATTCGATGTGGGGTATTTGGTGTACGCTATGTGGTGTAAGCTGTGGGGTGTACTACGTGGTGTAAGCTAGTGGGCGTGGACTAGGTGGTGCACGATCTGTTTTCCCATCAACAACCGTATCAAGGCCCCACTGACGCGATGCCATCGTTCGAGATGTAATTGGGGGATAACTAGACAAACTGTCCCGCCGCGGGAAAGTCATCGCCCATTCCTCCTGGGGGAAACCAAGACGCTGTCGCGGAGAAGGGAGGAAGAAACAGCACAATAACCTGAAATGGCGCGCCGAAAACCTGCAATAGAGCCAACACGCGTAGACAAGGACTGGGGAAGCGGGCACACGTGAAGATTTCTACACTCCCTATGGCGCAACTGGCGGACTGATAACATCCAACACGAGGGCAAAGAGGAGACTGAGGGAGGGGGAGGCACAAGGAAGGGGGCCATGAGGGGGGACGGGCAAGGTCAAGCGTGCGGGCGGCGAGGAGAACACACATTCGCAACACTCCAAATTGAAAATGCCTGCGCACGCAAGGCATCGCATGATAGGAATAGGAACCTGAACTTACACCAGAGGCGGGTGCACCAGGAGGAGGGGGGAGGCAAAAGAAAGGAACCCGGGTCGCAACTGGGTGATTAACGCCGCGCGCGAAGCGGATGAGGGGGAGGCCCGGGGGGCGAGCCCGGGAGCAATGCCCAGGGTCGGCCGCCTGCGGCCCCCCGCCAGACACGTGCACGGCACGTACGAACTAAGGAGGAGGAGGAGGAGGAGGAGGAGGAGGAGGAGGAGGAGGAGGAGGAGGAGGAGGAGGAGGGGAGGAGAAAGAGGAGGAGAGCAGTGCCCAGGGTCGGCTGCCTGCGGCCCCCCACCGGCCACGCGCGCGGCACGTGCGAGCTGTGGGCCCCCACCCGCGCCGTATGGTGGGCAGCACGGGGCCCCCGAGAGGCGCCCGCGGGCGGGCACCGAGCGGACGCGAGGCGCCCCCCGAAAGGGCACGGGCTGGCGCCGGGCGAGAAGCCAGGGAAGCCTCCCAGCACGAGGAACCCACGGGGCGCCCACGGGGGGGCACCGGGCGGGCACAGGGCGAAGACCTGGCAAGACCATGCGGGTGCTTGCGAAGACTGGCAAGACCGCAGGTGCAAGCACTGCTCGGGGAGCTGCGCAAGGCGAGCGTGCAAGACTCCTGGCAGTGCAAGTCAAGGGAGCTGCTGCGGCGATCGACCGCATACCCTGTGATGCGAGGGCGCACTTACATGTCTCCATCCTTGCCGAATGGATGCTACATGTAAGAGAAAATGGCGCACGGATGCAAGGGCACAACGCGAATCCCTCGTGAAAACTTTGTCACGGCCAACACGCATCGGTCGCGTTGGCTGCTGGCTCGCAAGACCTCGCCAGAGGAAGCCGTGTTCTTCCTGGGCTGTATACCTACTCCCCCTTCCGCAAGCGAATTGGGGAACGGTAGCGGAGGGAGGAGGAGGAGGAGGAGGAGGAGAAGGAGGAGGAGGAGGAGGAGGAGGAGGTGGAGGAGTGCGGGTAGCCTCAGGCGAACGAGTCTCCTGAGGCTCAGCCGCCGCGCGCTAGGCGGAGAGCTTGGGTAGCTCACGACGAGAGCGCGGGCAGCAGCCAGCAGTGCGCTCGGCTGGCTGGCCGTGGCCGTCCTGTACTTATTGCAAAAGTGGAGCGCCAGCACGATGCGCCGGATGGTGACGCGGCACGGCAACTCGCTCGGCGCAGGCGGGTAAGCTGCTGATGGTCCCAGCCCCCAGCGCGTCAGTGTACTGAGGAGGAGTAGAGGGTCGGGGGACCAAAGGGGGCTCAAGAGGCGAGGGCAGGAGAGGTAGTGGGGGAATGAGTCTGGCTGATCGCGGCAACCGAACACGCAGCAGCGGGGCACGAGCGCATGCATGCGGGCGGTGGTCGTCCACCCGCCTGCCAGTGTCTTGATCGTCGCCCAAATTCCAGCTCGGGCGAACGCTGCTCAGTGCACCAGCTAGCGTCTCCCAACGCTCGGTCAGGAGTGCAAGATCGATGTGTAGGCCCCGCGCGCCAACCCGCTTTGTGAGGGTGACGGTAAAGGGCGATGCGAATGCAGCCGTGCGCAGAGGGGCTGCGAAGGCACGTTGGAAATGGTGGCGGCGCGGCGGATTAGCTTCCATGGCCAAAGCCTTGTCCGCCAGCGCTGCGCGGCGAGCTTATTGTATCATGGCGGGTGCGAGAAGGAGGGGTTCGCTGCGCGTCTCACAGCTGGGCACTGAACTGCACAATGGCGCGGCTGCCCCCAGAAGCTGGGAGACAGCAGTCCGTCCAACCAATGATGGAAAGAGTGAACTGTGCTCTCCTCCCATGCCGCGTCGCGGAGGTGAGTGAAGTGAGGTTCCCGCAACTCCACCAAAGTGTGAGACGCAGAGCGGGCGGCGGCTGCGACAGACATGACCTGCAGCGAACGAACCACTGGCGGCGGCGACCAGTCCGCCATCGCGAGGAGGTCTACCTTGCGGAACGCGTTCGGCGGCAAGCCTAGCATCACATGAAAATGTAATGCTCGCGATGTACCGTGGATGCAGGGAATGGGAAGAACTGGCTCGCATAGTTTAACACAGAAAATCGCCGACGTGTTGTAGAGGCGAACTGTGGCGCCGCTTCCGGAGTGCACATGCTGGAGCGGGTGAGCGCGCTGCCACCATGTCTGCCCAGGGGCGTGCCCTTGGTCGGCCAGGGAGGCCAGCGGGCCGAGGAAGATCCCGAGGTATGTGGCACGCCCCTCAATCGAAAACGAGCGCCAGGAAGGCACGTGCGCGCGGGAAGCAGGTCCTGGGCATGGGCCAATGTGGCAGGCGACGCTGATTCCAAACAGGGGCAGCCACACACTTGCGAGGCTTCAGCGACAGGAGTGCGAGGCGTGCGGCGGCATCATAGGCCTCAGTCACTTTGCCGACCACTTCGATGGATTCACACATGATGCCCAGGTCGTCTGCACATGCGCCCAGGCAGTTCGCCGAGGTAGCGTCCATGTTGTCCAGGTCTATGGCGGCGGCGACGTGGCGGATCAACGGGTCCATCGCGATCTCCCATGCGGAACCGCTCGCTGGGCAGCCCCCGGCAACGCCAGACTCGATCGCGACCTCGGGCGGCGAGCGCCGTCGACCTTGACCGAGGAGGCGGGCGCGTAGGACATGGTGTCGAACAGGTGCATGTAGCCAGTCGGCAGTCCGAAGCGGCGCAGCGCCTTGAGGAGCCATATTGTGCCAAGAAATGGGAATGCCGCTGCGAAGTCGAAGCTGATGAAGATGGGGCGGCGCTCCATGGCGATCTCCAGGAGGCCAGCTCGGCGCATCTCTGCGTCCAGGCGCACGATGTGCTGCGAAGTTCCTGCCCATGACGAAGCCCTGCTGCGCCTTGTGGGTCTGCTCGGCCACGAACGGCTTGAGGAGGTGGTTCGCGGCGCCTGCGATGGCCTTGGTGTCTGCGTTCTTCAGCGAGAGCGGCCGACTGTCTTCGGGCAGGCGATCCGTTGCGAGCTCGCCCAGGAGGTTTTCGCCCTTCGTGAGGAAAGCGAAGTCCGAGTCGTTCAGGTCGCGGGGGATCGAATGCCCCGAGCAGAGGTGGGGAGATAGGTCCTCCAGGATGGAGAGGGGGGGGGTCGCGGGCGACCCATGGGCTGCACGGCGAACTGCCTGGGCCAAGCGCAGATCGGATGTCCGCTTCGAGAAGGCCTGCAGCTGGTGCGTGGAAGTCGGCGGAATGTCCAGCTTGTCGCCCTGCGGCATGCGCGCGTCGACGCACGCGTGGGCGGCGTCGAAGTCGACGGTCTCGCGGGGGAAAACGGGGCGCCAGTTGTTGCGCAAGACGTCGGCCATGATGTCGCTCTCTGGCGGCGGCAGCAGGGCCATCGAGGCCCGTGGTCTTCATCCCGTGGGGGGCGAGGCGGCGCTTCCAGGGGGCCCGGAGGAGACGCGCGCACTGGGCGTCGTCGGTGAGCTCGAGAGTCGGGGGATCGATGTCGAGGAAGCGCTCCCCCAGCTCAGTAGCGGCATGTAGCCGTCGCGCCAGCTGTGCGTCCTGGCACCAAATCGCCCGCGATATCGATCGCATGGTGGTGACCCTGCCGTCCGAGAAGCCAAGCCCGGAGAGGTCGCCCGAGCAGAGGCGGACCCAGTCGTCGCGAGCCATGCGAGCGGCCTCCAACATGTATATACCGCTTGTGCAGGCGCCATCGCGTCTCGATGGGGAGGCGCTGCGTGTCCGCAGCGTCGATGATGTTCTGCGCGCGGGTGGCGTAGTTGGGGTCGCGGAACACAGCTGGCGGGATGGCTTGACTAGCTGGTGGCGTGAGTCGCTTGATGCCGATCGCGGAGGAGATAATGGCATGGTCGCTGAGGCGCCTGTCACAGGATGGCAGGGTCGTGCAGCGCGTGGACAGCCACGGTGAGCTCCTGCGTCGCGTGGGAGGGGAGGCCAATGAACACGCGGTCGATGGAGGAGGCTGTGTAGTCTGCCTTGTTGAAGCGCGTGGGGAGCTCGGATTCGACCTCCAGCATGGAATCGAATAGGGCCTTCCAGAAGGGCCGCTGCTGGCGGTTGTTGTTGTCCAGCTGGAGGCGCGCGCGCGCGGCGCCTTGGGTTGGTTGAAGCTGCTCGGTGGGCGGCTGGCGGCGTTGATGCCGCCCGTGGCCAGGGAGGTGCACGTGGTGTAGCCGCGCGCCGCCCAGTC